ATATATATATATATATAAATATATATATATATATATATATAAATATATATATGTTGGTTGGTTGCAGAAAAGACAAAGCTCCACTGACTAATAATCAAAACAAACCTGTCTCCTTTGAAAAAGTATGTCTTGGCCACATCTTCCCACCAGACAGCCGTCTCGATACTCTGTGTTGGCATGCCGCTCCCAAACAAAGAGATATCCTGAGGGTAGGAAGGCTGAAGATGCCGATCCTTGAACACCCAGAAACGGTTTCCTACAGCGACGGAAAAAAGTTAGTGTATACAATAGCCTGAAAGCATGCTAAACAAAAAAAACTGCCATATTTCTGTTCACTCATGCCCGTCTTTGTCAGTTATTTTTCTTCCTAAGAATTTCACAGACCAGATGTTTCATAAATTTGTTTAAAAATGATCTGTTCAGCACAAAATCTAAGTGTTACGATGCCCTAAAGGCAACCCTGCTGAGTCTTGTTATTTGAGTCTTACTGAAATTATTCCTGCATTTAATTCAGCTTGATCATAAGGCAGAGGCGGGGAAGCTGCTGTGGTGCAGTGTGCATGTGTGAGTGCTAGGTGGCTAGATGCTTACATGCACTCACTCAACAATACACACATGCTTTGATTCATGCGAGTGAATAAATGAAGCATGAGGCACTCCGATACCATTGAGTGATAGATGTCATGTTAATCTGCCTGATGACGGGTGTCTTTCAGGGCCTACACAAATTCTCAGACCATAGAGAAGTCTGCAAACGTTCATGTAGTGAAAAGGATACAGCATGCTTAATTGCTCCTAATTTAATTAATATCTTGGAAGATATTTGTTTATATATCAATAGTTTAATACACCACTCTTTTAAGGTAACCTCATATTTTTATGTATTATCTTTACAATTCTGTGTGATAGTTTATCAGAAGTCTGGGAAATGGAAGGGAAATTACAGTGTTTTCAAATTTTAATAGTAACAATAAATAAAAAAAAAGAAAAGTACTGAGTGCATATCAAGCAACCACAGTCCAGAATTTGTCCAACTTGTCTTCTGAGGTATGAATCTACCAGCTTTATGGTTTAAGGCACAGGCATGTTTCTCTCTGCAGCTTTAATTTTCTGTGTTTTTTTTTTTACAGTGCTTGTTACTAACTCAAAACCAGACCTCTTGTGGCAGTCTTCTGAAAGAAGATCATGTCCTCTGCATACCTGTGAAAGGCGTGACTAGCAGTTGTCCCATCAACAGAATCTCCCACCTGATCTGTGCGTGTCTGCAGCTCCGCCAAAGTTCCCATAGGCCTTTTGGCTGCTTCTCTAATTAATGTTCTCCTTTCCAAGCCTGTCTGTTTAGGTAGACAGCCTTATCTACATCAGTCAATAGCTACTCCAGAATCTCTCCATTTCATTATGATAAATTGAGTTTTATTCTTAGATTAAACAATGCTGCGGTGGAATGTATTTATGAGTTATTTGGCTTCTAAGAGGCAATTACTAGCAAGGGTGGGTTGAATTTTTAGGCATAGTCAGGGGTCTAATTCAAATGCAGGGCAAAATTTTCAGATAGCATGATTCAATATCCCTTCAAGATACAATTATGCACTGATTTATGTGGGACTGTTATTAAGAATCCAAACGTATTGCGAGGAATAAAAACACTTTAGAGTATTTTTATTTGAGCTAATCCACAGCACTTTTGCTTAGTTATTTATTTAAATAGAAAAAAAAATAAATAAATACTTCTGTTACCTTTAAAAAAGACAAACTTCCCCTCACTGTTTTCATACACAGCATCGATTTTAGGGGGCAAGCCTTGCCAGAAGTGGTTGATCGGCATGGGATAACCTGGGACCACTGAATTGTCCCGTACTCGCCAGAACCATTGGTCCTACAGAAATAGACATTGTAGAAATATTATTGTTTGAACTTAAAGATTAAGGAGCAAAGATGTTTCCTTGACTATTATTTCAGTTTACCTTAAAGACAAAGAGCTCCTGTCGGAGGATGGCCAGAGTGTTGAAGCCTCCATCGCAGATGTTCGGTTTGGAGTTGGGGTTAGACGGTTTGGAGCCCTGAGGAGGGCGATGGGGTCTGGCATGGCGGTCGTGTTTCCGGGGGTCTGAGGGAAGGTGGAAACGAGGAGGCGGAGCTGTAGGTGGAGGGCTGGTGGGCTGAGGAGCTTTATCTGGTGGTCCTATAAATAAAAACGGCGGTATTACAACCTGTTCTCTCTAAACCAGAACATCAAGTCTGTTTTTGAAAGATTTAGCTGTTTAAAAAACTAGCTCGACGATACACATTTCCACCAATGCAATGTTTTCTGTGGGTGATGGTTATTTTTTTCCTCATTTGCAATCTGTTTGTTGACTCATGTTGCCTTGAAATAAGCAGATTGGCTGACCTCGTTAACAGCAGAATGCTTACTGGCAACCAACCCAGGATGACTGATGTGGCACCATTCTCAATGGTGACAAATTTTTAGAGTGGTGCAGTATGGTGTTTTGTGATGCATTGTATCCTTATGAAACTTTTGGAACACTGTATTATTGCAAACTATTTTTTGATGACTTATTTCAAAGAAAACTGTAATGTTTAACATTACCATATATTTTCTGGATGCCCTGCAGGTCATCTTGAGGTAGCTTGAAGTTCTCAGTGTCCATATACTGGTAGAAGGGAGCCATGATAGCAGTGGGGTCATTTGAGTGCTCCAGACCGAGTGCGTGGCCAAGTTCATGCACCGCAACCAAGAACAGGTCATTGCCTATAAAAAGGAAAAGAAGATCTAACTAACAATATGAATTTTGGAGAACATAGTTGCATTTCGGCAGAATGTGACAACACAAAGAAATAAAAAACATGGACTAATATAAAGTTTTAGTGGCACACCAAGTAACTGGACAACTGTCTGCCATATAGTATTTCAACCATATGTGGAATAAATACAAAATGAATAAACTCAGTATGAAGGAAACAAATTTGCATTATGATCTGTTAGGCTATCTTTATGGAGTGTGAAGAGTGCCACGACACCAATAAATAAATAACTTGTGCATGATTCATTTTATTAAAACTAGTGTTCCACCAATACCGATACCAGTATCGGATGGGGCCCCCATACTGCCCTAAAATGGTGGTATCGGTATCGGCGAGTACCAACAAATAGGGCACCGATACCATTTTGAGAGCCATAAGTTTATTAAACTATTGTCACTCACTCCTGGTAGGCAATAAAAAGTTCTACTGGATTCACTTTGTATTAGATTTTTTCCTGCTTCACAAAGGTAGGCAGCAGCTTGACAAAGCCATGGTGGCAATTATTTTACATTATTGTGGTATCGGTATCGGCCGATACTGCACAGCTAGGTATCGGGTATCGGGGCCAAAAAATGGCATCGGCGCAACACTAATTAAAACTGTAAACGAACATATAGAATTTATTTAATAAATAATTCATTATATGGGTCAATGGCTGGAAAAGTTGGGAAAAACTTCTGAAATGTGTTGCTATTTATTTACAGCACATTGGGTGAGCAAATCCAGCCTCTACATCTGCAGTTGGGGTTCTAAAATGTTAACGTCTGAGAAAACGTAAGCTGGCGTTAGTCAGTGGGTGTGGCTAACTCTGGCAGCTCCCACAACACTAGACCACAGCAAACTCTTTTATACCATTATGTATATATTTCAAACCAAACTATGGATATTGAGTTGCTTACCCAGTCTAATTTAAATAAATTCCAACACATAATTATAATCTGAAAAGTTTGGCATCCATTTGTAGTAAACCCTCTCTAACATGTTGTTGAACCTTTTCTAATATTTTTACACTAGTGAATTTTACCCTAATATATGTGGTAGAGTGTCTCTCTCTCTCTCTCTATCAGGATTGCCCTGCAATTAGCTCCATCCACCTTTCCACTGACCCATGAAACAATAATCTCTACTTAGGCTGAAGAAAAACACTCTTACAACATGTATGTTTCAGGATGGGGATGATGACTATGACTAAAGCTCCTGTCTGAGCAGTGGGGCCCTACAGCTTTGTTGCTCTCTTTGCTGAATTTCTTAAAGCACGAAAAACAGGTATTAAGAGCTTTAGATGATTGATAAAGGAAAAAGGCTGCACTAGGTTTTACTTCAGGGTATCAGTTTTAATGTAAAGGGGATTAAATGCAAATACAGGTAAAAAATTTTAATAAGCTAAAACATTTGAAAACATGCTTTGTTTTCCTTCCCCATCTTATGTAATAATTCTTCACTGGTTCATTAAATACCCACCCAAGAAAACAGAATAAAGTTTGATGCTTTAAGTTCATGTAATGAGGAAAAGCTCAAGGGAAATTAATACTTCTACAAGGCTCTGTATCTTTCAGCTCATGAGACCCACTGCGTGCATTAGGATCTACTTTTATTTCTATATAATGTATTACTGATGCCATACACACAGTTACTTCTGTGTCTGCTTTGAATGCATATTGATTTATTTTGACTTGCTTCCTGTCCGCAGTGAAGTCTGTGTGCATTTGGAGAATATGAATCAGATAAAGGATGAACCATTTTAATACAAACATGGCTAAATCAATATGTAATATCAATGTTCATTCTTTCCACCCATGCATTTTGTATCTTTAGCATTTTTAATTGCTTTTGCAAACTGAGTATTTTTAAAAATACTGCACAGTGTCGTGAATCTAAATTTAGTTTAACTTAATGATTTAACAGAGAACTAATTAGAATATATAGGCAGCAAAAGCCTGAAGGATTAAGCCAGAAAGACAATAATTATTTCCCTTCTCTGGTTAAGATTTCCTATTAAAAACAGTACAAAACATTACAAGTAAAAAAAAAAAAAAAATTGGGACTGAAGTGAAACAGAAGGATCCTCTTTTTTTCTTAACATAAATGAGGACGTGAACAACAGCAAATCGAGCAGAAGGGTACACATGCATGTTTCTGCAAAGGACATGTATGTTAAGCACCTGAACATCAGATTATCGGCCCAGTAAAGGTTTATTTCTTAAAACAAACGCAAAGTAAAAAGTAAAAATTTAACATCTAATGGATGTGGTCAACTCAGTTCGTCAGTCTGATTTAAGAGGAATTAAAACTCCTATGTACAAACAGTTACTGAACCTGTCCCGAAGAGATAGCTGCCCTTTGCAAGGATGATATACACTCATGTCAAAAGAGCTGCATAAAACCACCACTGACCCTCAGCCAGCAGCAAAAAGGTTACACTCCCCCCTCTCCGCCTTTCACCTCATCCAACCATCCTCAGCAACCAACCACCTTTGAGGATTCCCTTAAGGCAAACTGCAGCTACCATTAGCACAAATGTCAAAATGCAGCATTTACAGTTCCACTGCTGCAAAAGTCCATTAAAGACAATTCAGCTTCAATGGCACACATGCTGAGACTGGAACTTTTTTTTTTCCTTTAGCCACAGTGGTCTAAATGCATAACTATGGGATGCTGCTCAGGGGCTAGTGTGCTTCTGACTTAGGAGTCTAAGACTATTACCATTAGAGAACAAAAAGAGAGTATGAAGGAAAAGAGCTGATGGGTGGCAAGCGGTATCCCTGAACAAGCACAATGGAAGCAAAAGCCCTCCTCCCTCTCTAATGAAAGGAGAGAGAGTTGGTGCATGGTGGTTTGATAACAGACAAGCCGCCTGGTGGTGCTTCCACAAGCCTGCTACCCCATAGGTAGAGTAATTAGGGAGTGTTTGGTTGAATGCCTTAGATACGGATGCTATTTTCCTCTCCTAGCTGCACCACTGCAACCACTGAGCTACAGAAATTCAATAAACCCAAATCATGTGCCAGCAAAAGCAAAAGACTTAAAATAGCACTGCTCTCTATCCTGTCATCTGAAGAGCGTATTATGCTGACAGAAACCAAAGTCCTGACAGATGGGGTGATGCGTCTTTATAGAGCAGCACCGCATCAAACACATCTTAGAGTTCTTTGTTTTTGGCTGAGCGTCCCTCACACTCTGCCCTAAGATACTGTCGTTCCCATAACACCCTCCAGCCCGGCCATCTGTACTTTCCTGATCTGGCATCCATCAGCTCTTATCCATCTCTCCACAAGACTGCATTTTTCCCTGTTTGCTTTCCTCACTTCTTTCACTTGGGTTTATTTATTTCTCCATCACTTTTGTTGTATGTCTCTTTGCTGTTTCCTCATCTTTTCTTGTCCTATATATATTCAGGGCAAAAAATGATTAGACCACTCCTTGTTTTCTTCCATCTATCATTCTAAAGGATTATTACTTAAAGAATACAGTAAAAAAGAAGAAAATAAGAGTGTAATTTAGTAATAAAAATGACAAACTTTTTTTTTTATTTAGTCAACATATTTGGGTATCTTATGAAGGTTTTATTGGGGTATAGTAACAAAAAGTAGATACATATATTCAATACATCTCTATGAATAAAATCTGATAAGTGTGGCATGCATTTATATTCAGTCCACCTTAGTCAATGACTTATAGAAACACATTCTTCTATCTACTGGGCCATTCAAAAACATAAACCTAAAGACTTCTAAAGACTTCAGATTTCATTATACTGCTGCTAGGTGAACCTTCTGCCCCACTCTCACGTCTTTTGCAGAAAAAATATTATTAATTATGGTTAATAATCTTTATTATCCTGTCAAAGGAATCACCCACCTAAGCTCCTATTGTAGCTGCTATGGCTACTTCTCTGATTAATGCTCTCCTCTCATGGTCCTTTCGGTTCAAAGTGGATGACCATGTCTAAGTATATTTTCAGCTGTCTCATACGTTTCCATTTTTAAAGGATTTATTCATGAGGTGATCCATGAGGCATTCAATCCTTGTTTATTTTTTAAATCTTAGATTAAATTCAAACTTCTGCACAACGTTCCAACTAACCTGTTTACTGTCTGCTGTTCTACATGATGCTGATTAGACACTAACATTTCTAAAAACCTCCAAGGCCTTCATAAATCACCTGTATTTAAGCTCAGATTAAAATACCGTATAAATAGATGGACTCTATTAAGAAGTGTGCTAATGTTTGGAAGGCATGCTTTATTAGATTTACATGTACAACATGTCACACTTTGAAGTATTTTATTTGTAAACTAGGTATTTGTCATTCAGGTTTACAACCCGTCTCACCATCATGGTTGGGATTTCCAAGGGTCCAAGGCTCATCTGAGTCAAAGTGGGTGTCCCCTCCTATGCCAGGCCCAGGAAAATAGGCATGGGCGAGGAATCCTCCCTCCCCATCGAAGGGCGAGCTGTCACCATGAAAGCCAGAGGCGAAGATAATGGTGATGTCCACATCACGCCTGCCCGTCTCCAGGGCGCTGTACGGAACGGCCTCGAAACGCAGAGGAGTCACACCCTGCCACACATCAAATGCCCTCCGTATGGCATCATGAGTCTCTCGGGCACCCACCTTTGGTGTGATGTTTTTTATGCTGCAGGAAGAAAAACATGGACATCAATTTTGGGGAGGCTTCAGAGGGGTGGAAGCTTGAAACTGCTGGGAACAAGATTTAGAAGAAAATACTTCACGTTACTCCCTCTTCAGTTCTTATCTCATTAATGTGGAGTGAACATTTCTTAGGTTTTAGAATGAAGCGACAAAAAAAAAGTAACACTTGACACAACTATTTCAAGACCAGCAGCTTCCAGTGAACTTTTAACACAACAGTCGTTATCAGTCCCTGGCAGGCAGAGAGGAAGAGGGCAATCATCTTCCTCTCTCTCTCTCACTCTCTCTATCCACTCATTTTCACGAATAACGCTCGGGCAGTGGTGGCAGCAGCAGCAGCTCAGCACTGATTGACATTCCATTAGAAGAGGTGTCTCATCAATTCAAATTCAGTCAGCAAGCAAAGAAGGATTTAAATAAATTGGTAGTGTTATCATCTATTACTGCCGTAACCTGTCAATTTGCGGTTGTGCTGCAGACCCGTTTATCAGTTCTCCTCAGGCCCATTAAACCCAGAGCTTAATTATAGCTGATAAGATGAGGGTTTGTCTATTTCTGCTGAGATTGTGAATAGTTTGCACTCCCAATTTTTATATATCAGAGTGAAGACAATTTCTTTAACCTAATGAAAAGGAAAGAGATTATGTAACGGTTCAAAACACATTCTAATTCATTTTTAACTGTGCCACACGCTATTTATACACTGAATGGAGAGCATACTCACACAACACAAAATTTAGGTGTTAATCTGTCAGTTTGTGCATGTGTGAATACCCCCCACACAACCGACATATTTGCTCAGTCTCTATGACAACTCGCAGCTTACAACCCAAGATGGTTAAAAACTGTAAGAACTGATAAATAGAAAGTGGAAATTAGATAAGAAAAGAGCTAACAGAAATGTAAGAATTATTAAAAAGTTGAATAAAAAATATGGAGAAATATGTACTTAAATAAATGAAAAAGCTGTATGACATAAAAAAATACAGTCAAGGGTTTTAATGTGAGACTAAAACTCTGATGAAATGTCATCTAGGGAATGTAAACCTGCAAGGAGCCCTGCAGTGTCTACTAATAATGAGTAATGTCTCTGTCTCTCACCTGTAGGTTATGTGGGTCCGCTGCCACTTCTGCCCCGTCAGTGCGTATCTCCTCCTCCGTGACCTTGTGGCACTTTTGATTTTATCTGGAACCCCACAGCGTGGCTTTTGCATCCATCTAGAACGTAAAGGGGAAATGTTACGTTTGCATCCAAAATCTTTGCTTCACAGCTTCGACTGCGTGACAACACAAAGCGTAGAAGTGAACTCTCCGGTTCTCTTCTCGGTCACTTCATTACAACGGCCAAAACAAATGAAAATAAAATACAAGAAACAAGAAACAAATAGATGCAGAAAAACTTCTAAACTACTTCTAAAACTACATTTCTTCTCATTCGTACAACGCCATTTGTCACAACTACTGAACAAACACAATATAAAGGCAAAAACATCAGTTCTCACCTTAGAGTGATATCACTGCATGATCATGCAAAACGAGAAGAGGGAAAAGTGTTAAAACCTTCACCTGGAGTGATTTCAGGTGAGGTTATCGGTGCAGGGGGCATTAATAAAAATTTGTATCTGTCTGTCATCAACCCATTAAGTAAAAAGGTGGGAAATTCCATTACCTAAGGGTCAATATCCTGCAAGTTTTAGATATGTCTTAGGTCCAACAAACCTGAATCAAGTGATTACATGATTAAGAGGACACTAGAGAAATTAATGGCATGCAGAGGAGGTAATACAGTCATTTGTTTCAGGTGTGCTCTGGACCAAGAGGCAATCTAAAAGTCTCAAGATACCAACCCTCAGAAACTGGAAATGCCCACCGCTGTATTAATATTATGGTTCTAGTTGGTTCCTCAGCATTTAAAGCTACAGTGTGTAACTTTTAGCGACAT